TCCAGAACTGACATGAGACTGTGTGCCAACAATGACAATTTTATTTTTGTCCAATGTTGGACAGCAAATAAAGACAACACACAACAGTAAAATATGGCGCATTATTTCTAAATAACTGCAGCTTTACTAACTGTTAATATCAGTTTTATTAATCTACTTATTAAAACCAAAATACTAACATCTGAAAGACACCAATAAAGTAGAAGAAAAATCATGTTTTCAGAGGTTTTTCTTTTTCATTTTAAAATCTGTGTAAACATGTGGAACAAAAAGGCAAAATTTACTTTGTCCTTGTTTACCAAAAGTGGGCTTAGTTGTACTTAAGCCCAGCTGCACTTGGTGAGCTTGCCAGGTGCTTCAAAACGGTGCTGTACTGTACGCAACAAGATGGTGATTAAAGTACCATAAGTTGGATTTTGTGATTTACACAAACAGCTCAGTAACCAAAAAAATAATAAATAAATGCTTTGAAAAAAATTACTTACATGCTCTGAAAACAGTCTTTGGCTCAGATCTCTTTAAAACGCTGATGAATTGTCGTTGGTGGGGGAACATTGCTGGGAAATGTGGTGTGTTCCCTGTGCTCCCTACAACTATAAATGTGTGTGTGTGTGTGTGTGTGTGTGTTTCTACACAGCTGAGTTTAAACTTATTGGACCCCATCATAAAGATGAAGTGTATCAGTCTGACTCTGCGGTCACTCTCTCCTGTCATCTGTCTCCTGGAATCAGTGCTGTTGCCATGGAGATCAGGTGGTTTAAGGGGACGGACTGTGTTTGTCTCTATAAGAACAGGCAGGTGACAGGGGAGGGGCTACGAGGGCAGAGTGAGTCTGTTCACTCAGGAGCTGCAGAGAGGAAACGTCTCCTTACAGATCAGAGACTGTAGATGGTCTGATTTAGGAGATTATCTGTGTCGGGTCACCAATGGAGACACAACAGAGGAGTGTACAGTGGACTTAGGACTACCACTGAGACGTAAGTATTCCAGAAGTTCACTCTACATAAACTCATCGTCATCATCATCATCAGCATCTCAGAATGAAAGATGAAGAGACAGAAATGAGAAACACAGGTGTTCAGAATGGTGTTGTGTTCAGATAAAGGAGGTAAAACATACAGAGGATAAATGATGTTAATGTGGAGTGAAGGACAGATGGAGCATTTCAGTAGAAAAAACAGTGACTCTGTTTCTCACTCTGACTCTAAACCTCCACATCATGACTGCACAGTGGAAAACTTACAACTGCAGCTGAACTAAAAACTTAGAAGAAAATAAAAAGAACAAAATAAATATTTTGAATGAAAAATTCAAATGGGAACAAAAGTGAAACTGATTATACATCCAGTGAAATCTATAGACTGCAGTCAGAACACTGATTTAACGCACAATAAATATTAATTATTAAAATATTATATTTAATATGTGACGTCACTACAGGCTGCTGACTGACTCTCACAAAAAATCCTGTTTAACTAATTAAAGCTGCTGATCCATAAACTATAGACACAAAATGGGGCGTATTCAGAGTTGAGCTGCGCATAGTGAGGAGATAAAACTGAAACTGCGCATCTTTGTTCACACTTCAGTCATGTCTGTGGACAACAATAACATTATTGTCTTCTTAATGATAATGATGATTCTTAATGTTTGTTTCTTAATGATAAAAAAGATATTATAATTAAATTTTACTAAAATATAACAAAAATATTAGTATTAGTTTTATCATAGCATAATTAATCTTTCTCTTATTTTGAATGTAAGTGAATGTGCCAAATGAGCCTTTACCAAAAATGCTGTCAATGCTTTTCTATGAAGATTGCACAAGCTTTGTGTGCATTTGAACTCCTATGTTAGCAGTAGGTGCACCTTAATACAACTGAGTTCACTAGTAAAAACCTTCAGCCTGGGCCTGTAGAGGTAGAGGTTGTGGATTTTGAGGTGTGTTTCAGATCATTATCCTGTTGTAGAAGCCAATCTTTTTTTCATCTTCAGCTTTTTTTACAGAAGGTGTGATATTTGCCCCCAGAATTTGTTCATATTTTCTCCCCTCTACCAGTGAAATGTTCACCATGCTACTGGCTGCATCACAAGCCCAAAACATGATCGATCCACCCCTAAGCTTTACAGCTGAAGAAGTGTTCTTTTCTTGAAATTCTTCACCTTTTTTCTTCAAACATACCTTTGCTTATTGTGGCCAAAAACTTTGCCTTTCTAGCAATCCTACGAGCAGTTCTCTGAAAACATCTTAAAACACTTTGCTCTGTCCTTATGGCCTCCTGCTGCTTTGTAGGCATCAGTTATTTTCATTTTCAGACTGCTAGGCAGCTGCTTAGTGGAGCTCATTAAAGTATGAGACCTTGGCAAAAGTTATTTGAGAGCTCAAATCCCTTGGGGTGCCTAAACTTTTGCATGGTGTTCCTTTCCTATTTTTCACCCTGAAACTGTACAAAACACTGAACACTACACAATACATCTTGCTTAAATCATTGAAAAGAATGTTTCATCTTTAACTTTATGCCTTTTGGAGATCAGTTTGTCTTCTACTCATTTAACTGTTAATAATAACAACGTTTGATCAGGGGTGCACAAACAAATTTATTTATTTATTTTTTTCATTTATTGTTTAAATTTCCAGTTTTTTATCTCATGAGATTATCTTATTTCTGAGAGATATATTGCAAGATGATAAATATACAAATATTAAATAGTACAAACAAAAAAAAAATTGTAAATGTGTTCATACATGTGCCTAAGCATAAATATATATAATAAATATAAATATGTATATAAATATGATGTGTAATACCTGTCCTGGGTGTCTAATCATCCTTAAATATTTTACAATAGATGGTGTTTTGTATCTATAGGTGTTTAGATCTTGGAACTTTTCCATGTAAGTCTTCAACTCTGAATAAAACCCAAGAACAAAGAACAAAAAACACTCCATGAAGTAGAATCCATAGAATCATTTCTATAATGGTTGAGTTTCTGCTGTAGGTTTACACTTTAACTGTTTAGCTGAATATCTTCATGGAGTTGCATTAGGATTGAGTGACAGTTCAGTAGTGAAGGATGAAAAACTACAGTACAGATGAGAAAAGGAGATTCTGATTTGTGAAATAAAGACTGTTTTCCAAGTCTTCTAATGGTATGTTTCTTGCGAAGATTTGACTAACTTTGTGTTTCCTTCTGTTTTTATTCCACAGACGAAGGCGTAAGTACATAACTGTGTTTCCTTCTTTCTCTGCTGGTAGTGACTGATTTTATACTCTTATCACATGAACTACATTCAATACAGACATCAAGTAGCTACATAATATTGAGTTTCAGGTAAATTTCACATGATGAACAAACCTCCCTCCTTCGTTCCCACAGTTGATTACTGAGATCCTTTCATCTCCTTCACTTCCATTCACTTCATTTAAGAATAATCAGCTTCTCTTATTCAGTCTGCAGAGTCTCTCAGCACAGATTTACTAGATGAACATGAAAGATCTGATCTTAAAGTGTCTGGAGGCGATTTTAAGAGGAAGAATCACTTTCTCCTTTTATTCAATGTTTATTACTGCTCCCCTGTTTTCATCACAAGCATTGAAAAAACTGTGAATTTACACACTTCAAATGTGTCAGTTATTTGCACATTAATTAAATATGATACATCAGTACTTTGCTGTCTTTCAGTTCACTTCTTTAGGCAAAATTTGTGCTGATGTAATTTATCTATTCATGTGAAACTGATTAACATATTAAAGTACACTTTCAGTGATTGTCCTTGTTTATATATTTAAACAGCAGCTCTCAATAAAAAGTCACTAAAAATGTGTAAAAATCTGGACCTCAGCATTAAGTGAAGGTATTTGATGGATAAATATAGACAATTATAGCCTTTCTTACATTTTCATCTGTAGGAAGAGTCGTGTTCTTTATGTTTTGATTAGAGAAGTTAGTTTTTTTAAATGTAACTCATGACTCCTAGCATTAAATCTTCAGACTGTTTTTTGACTCCCAGAATTTCACTGTGTTGTTAAATTTCCAGTGTTTCTAATATTCAAATAGAGTAATTCACTTTTAGTTGCGTGCATGAAATCTTCACATTATATTATTCACTTCACAGCCACGTCTAGAACCAGAGATAGGTGAGTATAATTTAGTGTGTAGTGCTTTTATTGTGATGTGCTGATTGTTAATGAAGAATGTTTGTGTTGTAAAGACTGAATGTATTTATCTGTACTGTGTACGTTTTTTTGGTCTTTGATCAGAGACGACTCAATTTCCTAAAGTCTGTGTTTATCAGGTGAGCACATTATTCTAAATAGGTATACATTCCTTTAAAAAACTGTCAATATATGACCAAATATATGGATATACACATTGGTGTCCATAATATATAATGTTACAGTGTTAATACTGATCAGTGTTCTGTAAAGGCCACATTCAGTGTTTAGTTATGTGAGCATAGTGATGAGATAATTCTGATGATACCGTTTGCACATGTGGAGGACTTTGTACTAATAGGAATGTCTCAGTTATCTACCATACAGGCCCTGATCTATTTCTCTTGTTTCCTAGAATACAAGATTAAATATAATAAAATATAATATAATGTAGTATAAATAGTAATACCAAAATATCTCTTAATTATGCAGGCATTTTCTTTTAGATTGGCTGATCATGATAGTTTATCTAGTTAAACCACTCAACTGAATCGCTAAATTGCTGCTATTGACAGAGCATTAGCCCCACTAAGGTTAATTAGTATTAAATATGTATGTGTATGTGTATCTCTTCACAACAGCGTTATGATACAATTAAAGAGTATTAAAAACTAGACAGAAAAATTAAAACATTAGCATTCATATTATACATATATAATACTTTGAACCTTCAATTTATTGGTGTAATAAATTTATTTTAATTAAAAATGTAATATTTAGTCAGTGTATAATTTTGGAGAGAAAATTAAACCATTTAAACTATGCAACTGTCATAGTAATGTAATATCACTCTGGTTGTAATGTTGATCAGTCTACTGTAAGTAAATGTCTGCATTATGATCCAGTGTGATACCAAACACAGTAACAGTTTAAACCAGCTGCAATCAGCAGATTCTCTACTGTTATTGATAGCAGCTCTCAGTGATTCATACTGACACAGCAACAGTGATTTAAACAGAGAAACATTTATTGATCATATACAGTACGACATCGTGCATGAAATTTTCTCACTGTTTTATTCACTTTTATAGACAGACAGAAAATGGACAAAAGAGGAGAGACTGAGAATGGAGCAATCTGCTCGGTGGACTGGTGAGTAATAAAAAAGATCAGAAAAGAAAATGCAATGACAGATATACACTGTTAATCTCTGGGCGTGTTGGTGGAGGTTCATCAATAGCCTAGGTTTAGTTAACTCAAAAAAGCTTTGAAGTAAATGGCTTTAAAATTTTTGGTTCACTTGATTTTTTTTATATATTATATTGTTATAATATTGTAAGAGTGAAAATCTGACTTTATAGTAATGAAATGATCAGTTATTTATAGCTCTGGAATGCACACCTATCTCATTCTGGTAAATATGAATTGTAGTGGATGTGTTTATGGATATTCTTTCAACTATATCTGTGATGGTTAACAGATTTCATTAGAAAGTCTGTGTGAAAGTGTGTTCTCTCATTCGTTTTTTTGTGAGTTATGTATTTTCTGACTACTGCCATTTTCCTGCTTGAACTACATTACGAAACGTCCACATGTGACTTGTCACATGTCTCGTGCTGCAAACATCCCTTGGTTGCAGCTTAAAATGGTCCTTTTTAGCCATTTGTGTTGCAATCCTTTCTGAGGGCTCTGAGTGATCTGAGTGTGTGTGATGTGACTATCATTGTTTCAAATGTTGTCAAGTTGTCACTGACAGCTAGCAATATATGCACTTTAAATTACCTCTGTGTATAAATCGGCCTTAAAATTGTTATTAGAAACAGTTGATTAGCGTGTTGGATATATTTGACATTTGAAAGTCTGAGGTAGCTGCTTAGTAAATGTAGAAGAATGGACCTCAAAAATGCTCAAGTACAGAGCAGACTTTGGTGAAAAAGGTTCCCAAAATAATGCCTTTTTTTATTTCACTTTCATCTGAGGCATCAATATCAGCTCACCCACCTCTTAACTCCTCTAGCCAAGCTACAATATTAGCTCTGATGTTGGGTGATGAGGGCTGGCTTGCAGTCAGTCTTCCAGTTCATAATAAGGATGTTTGATAAGGTTGAGGTCAGGACTCTGTGCAGGCTAGTCAAGTTCTTTCACAGCAAACTAAGCAAACTATTTCATTTAGGACCTCACTTTGTGTATGTGGGAATTGTAATGCTGAAACAGAAAAAGGCCTTCCATAAAATTTTGTCACAAAGTTGGAAGCACACAATTCTCTAGAATGTCATTATATTGTATATTAAGGTTCGTCTTCACTGGAACACTATGCGATTGGGCAGATAGCATTCTCCTGGCACCAAGACTCCTTTATCAGAAAGCCAGATGGTAAAGCGTGATTCATCACTTCAGAGAGCACAGTTCTACGCTCCGATGGCCGTCCTGTTCTGTGAGCTTTGTGTGGCCTGCCTTATAATGGCTGTGTTGTTCTTCCTAGACATTTTCAATTCACTGAAACAGCAATTCTATTTGATCAAGGCAGATCTAGCTGGGCAGAAATTTGACAAACTGTATTTTTGTGGTAGTGCCAGTCTAAAAGCTACTGAGCTTTTAAGTTTGACCCATTGTACTACCTGTGTTTGTCTGTTAGCAATGGGTGTGGCTGATTAGTATGGCTGTCCACGTACTTTTGACATGCAATGACAATCAAACAACAAGACAGTGTAAACCAACAGCAAAGTATGAACATACGTTTATGTTGCAAATGAAAAGTGATTCTGTGATTCTTTTGAACAATTAAGTCTACTTCAGAGGGTCTTCTAAGAAATTACTAATGATTTTTAGGAACTAAGAAATACATATCTGTAATTTTGAGCTTGTTTTTATTCAAAAGATATTTGAAATTAAACTCTGCAAGTGCTACACATTTTATTATTACGTTTTGATTGGAAGCAATAGCGTTAAATTCTTAAATAGCCAACAAATCAAATCAGACAAATATTTTGCAGTCAGATTTTTGACTTGAGAGTTCAACAAGGCCCAACATGGCCCAGATCAAACAATTTCAGAAAACTGCTTTTCTTGTCTTAGATTAAAAAAATAATAGGATGCATAATAAGATGAATGAGTGTTAAACGTAATAGTCAGTTAATTAATTTATTCTCATTATGCTCACATAAAGTTCTCATTTATCTCAAATGTAAGACAACTTTACAATAAAAGGAAAAAAAAATTACTTTAATTTTAATGTGAGTCAATGGAAACAGACTTTTTTCCAAGTCATTTTGGGTAATTTCTTTTGGTCCATTCTTCATTAAATTCACAAACAATGTAAAGGGCAACAGGCATTTTCAAATTACGTTAAAAACTGAAAAACAACGAAAATGGAGATAATAAGGTTTTCTTCCAACAACAGCGATATAATACACTGTAGAGCCACGACGACTTTTTAATAAAATTTGATAAATTCGATGATTACAATATTCAAAAACTGCAAAACAAAAACAAAACAAAATTTATGTTTAGCGTAGTTTTATTTTTTACGTTTTTTCAGTGGTTTATAAAACTTGGTCCTATACAATCTAAAACATGATCACTCCTTCTTTCACTGATTCACTGACTGGAGTTGACCAAAAGCTGTTTTCAGTTTTTAAGACAACATGGATAAAAATGCTGTTTCTTCTGATTTCCTGCACTATTCATCACTGACATGTTCAAACAGTCTCAGCGACCTGGTCAGATTACTATTAGATTACTAGAGTTTTAAAACAAACTACAGTTAGACACCACAGGTATGGTTATAGAAAACTCACTGAGCTGTCAGGTTTAACCAGGTGCATCTTCAGTTACTTCAAGTTTCTTTAGGTGCTTCTTCATATTTAAAGTTGAGTCCTTGAACACTGACAGCAAATTACTACACATGTAATCATTTATGTCCCATAGCTCACAGTATACTATATTCTAACCCTATACATAATACAATAAATAAATTTATTTGTGATTATGATGTTAATTTTTTTCTACAGAGAAGGCCGTTTCTGGAGTTAGTGTGAGTTCTTTTGATTCCTTGGTAAAAGATTGTAGCACAGCATCTGCACAGCACCCTTACAATGAACATGTGACTGCATTGGTGCCAGTTAAGTAGTCCAAAGGGGCCAGTTGGCGATCTTGTTATAAAATGATGCTAAAACTTATATCACTTGATTATATGCTATCACAATATTGTATTTAAAAAAACTACATATATAGAATGAAAATACATGTAGAGTTATGAACAGGATACATTTTATTTGAAAAAAAACTTCAGTAGTGTCACTGCACAATCCCATAGCAGACTTCATTCACTACTGACATCCTGTTTTTTTCACATTTAGTATTCCTCATGTCTTTGATTTTTCCTACATCATAACTGGCAACATGCATCAGCGATGCATATTGTTATATAACTGTAGATACTATAAATTATGATTAGCCTTTATTTTTCTAAATACTACCACTATGTTAATACTAATTGGGCTGCTTTTGCGGTATGCTTTGGGTCATAGTCCATCTGCATCTGCCTCCACCATGCTTGACAGATGACATGGTATGCTATGGATCATTATCAGTTCCTTTTTGTTGTGTATATTCTTATTTTCTCATCATTCTGGTACAAGTGGGTATTTGTCTCAGTGTCTTTTACGATGTTGTTCCAGAACGGTGCTTTTTTTAGTTCTTTGGCAACCCCTAATGAGATCATCCTGTTTTTGTGGCTTACCAAGGTTTACATGCTGGAGTAAATCCTTTGTATTTTCTCCAGTGAAGTCTTTTCTTGATTTCGACACAGATACACCCACCTCCTGGAGGGTGTTTTCAATCTGGCCAACTGTTGTGAAGTTTTTCTTCAACAAGGATAGAATTCTTCTGTTATTCACATCTGTGATCTTCTAGGTCTTTTGATGCTTCTGAGCTCATCAGTGCATTCTTCCTTTACCAAATAGTTGATTTGGGCGCACTTAACGTTATTGCTATCTCTCTGTGATTTGTCAGCCTTGTAATGGCTTGTTTCTTTAGCATTGACAACTCTGTTGAAATTCATATTAAGAGTTAACACACAGGGGATACACACCTGGCCATGGAACAGCTGATCAGCCAACTGTCCAAATACCTCTGGGCCCCTAAAATGGGTGGTATTGTATGTATGGAAATATTGTCATTTCTGCACAGCTCATATTCTTTGTTCAATGTCAACTCCAGTAAGCTGCCAGACAGCTAAAATAACAATAACTTTGTTGACATCCAAATATTTATGGACCGTGAAATGTTCTGCACGTTAATTTTAGAGTACTAGTTCTCTAGCATTTATTCACAGGGTTATTCTGCTAAGGACTCTTATTGTGGAAGCGGAGCTAGTCTTTGGCAGGGGACATGTGTTAGAGCAGACAGAGACAGCCAGCATAGATAATTTGAGGATGTCAGAGAAAGTGGAAGGCGGCTGAGAGGAGTGTCACCGCTGTTGTCGTCACCTCCAGCGACACCAGATTTGACACTCTGGCTGTTTGTTCATTGCTGTGACCAGTGTGCGGGAAAGGATGGACCATCGCAGCAGTCACATGCCCAGCTTCAGTCTCTCCACTCTAGAACTCCAATGAAGAGGACACCACAGAGTTGGTGTTTGGCTGCCTGCCTGGACCAGGCAATAGAGATGACACCACAGCCAAGGGAGTCCCCCAGCCCAGCTCGCCCCAGAAGAGAATCCAGTTCAGTTCAAAACCTTTTGGATGAGGACTTTTGTAAGGAGTGGGTAGTTTAGTGAGTTCGGGAAATGTTCTGCTTGTTAATTGTAGAGTGTTAGTTCTCTAGCATTTGTTCATGGGATTATTCTGCTAAAAACTGGAGCTAGTTTTCACTGGGGGACATGTGTCAAAGTAGACAGGAACTGGGATCAGTCTAGAGCTGTGGCCCACAACAGCTGATAATAAAGCACTATTTATGCAGAAAGCTGTGTCTCTTTTAAAAGCACTGAATGCTACAATATTTGTGATTCGTTTTGTTCTGCACTTCCACAGTTGTCCACAGCAGCTGCTGAAAAATTCCTTCCTGAAATGGTTGAAAACACCTCAAAGACTAAGAACAATAACTTGTTCAGGTACCATGTGTCGTCAGTTTATGGCATCATTCAAATTCAAAGCACAGTCAGGTTAAGAAAGATGAATTTACATGTTTCTCCTCTTAATTTTAGGTTTCTGTGCCCTTTTGCTGGTCAGTTTCAGTGCAGGTTCACCAACCTTGTGTTTGAGATGGAGGGCGAAGGGGAGGTGCTGTACAGAATAGACTCCTGGGACCCCCGTTTCTTGGATGGTTTAGGCCAGATGCAGCCTGCAGGACCTCTATACAGTATTGACTGCTTTGAAGGTTCACTGAGTCATCTGCACCTCCCACACTGTGAGATACAATATGGTAAATTTCATTTTAACAAATTCAAATTTTTACAGACATTTTAGTTAAATACAATTACAATTATTACATAAATGATTATTCTAAATGTTTGCTTATCTTGCTACTGTGCTTTGTAAATAACATATAACCTTCAGTGAAAAATTTGAGTGGAACGTCTTGACAGATTATTTCTGTGTTTTTTTCCTAGTTGGAAGCTTAGATATCTTTAGTTCTGCCACCAAACGAATGCAGTCTAATTCTTTAGATCAAAATCAAGAACTTTGTCATCCCAACCTTATGAATAAAACTGTATATCTCCAAGGCTTTGGTACAACATAAATGGCCTATTTTTTACAAAACCACACAGTAACACATATAGTGCAATTAGACAAGGCACTGTGGTAACTTTGCTCAAGTGTGGGCACAAAATGCAACACTTTAATACACTGTAGAAAATGTGAGGAAAGAAAGTATGAGGCACATAGTAAGATGTATTAAGGGTCAACCTGATCAAGGATTAAGAAATGACACATTTTTTATTTAGAAAAGAAATTAATATCACCTCTTCTTAAAAATTTAAATATAATGTGTTTATGCAAATTTAACGCAACATCATTTTTTTGTTGTTGAATTAAACATATTGGGAAAAATAAAACAAAAAATTGTGTACATAAGCTTGGGCACCCTCTCAGGTGATAATTTATATAATTTATATATTTTTTGTAATAATAATTATTATTAACTCTGTGTCAGAGCTGATTGGACTCATTAGGCCCTAATCCAAGTCAGATGTAAACAATTTTGTAATACGTTACATGATTGTTTTCCTTAGACTCAGCAGCTATGGGCTCATTCAGTGGACTGACTGAGCATCAAAAACCTAGGTGACTCTTTAAAAAATAAGAGACGATGACAAAAAATATCTAAACAGCTTCCACTGTTTGAAAAGCAATTAAGAAATGGAAGTTAAGGAGAAGTCAATATAAGATCTGGAAGACTAAGAAAATTCTGTTAGAACTGCTATAGACTGGTCAGGTATGCAAAGCAAAACACCCACATCACTGCCAAAGACAAACAGCAGTGGTTCCCTACCCTGGTCCTAGAGGATCTCCTACCCTGCACATTTTAGAGTTTGCCCTGCTCCCAACACACCTGATCCAATTAATCCATTGGTTACCAAGGTCTTTGGCAGGACAACACACACATATGCAGGGCAGGGGTTCCTCCAGGACCAGGGTTGGGAACCACTGACATACATGAAGTCTGGTCTTATCTAAAATGATGATGCACTCCATTGCTTGGTGTTGCTGGACAAATATCATCTACAGTGAACAGACATTAGAAGTGAGTTACCAAATGTTTGAAGGAGAAATGTTCAAGAAAATAACACATTACCAATTGCATGAGGGAGGATGTATTATGCTTTGAATACTATTAAAAATCCGTGGTCATATTTCAAACATATGTAAAATAACTAAAATTCAGCAAACAAATAATAATTGCCCACTGCAATTTGCAGCACTATGTCATATTTAAGTTTGTCCTGTCAGAGGTGCTGTTAACCTAGAGCATTTTTTCGCTTAGACAATTGGTGACGTAGACCAGACTATAATTGCTGTGTTCATTTCAAGCACAAATTCCAGTGACGTACTAGGAAAACTCAGTGATGCAAACCTCATATCAGTTCTCCCTAAATTTATCAGCATGTCAGACATTATTTTCTGTGAATAGCCTACAGTGTTTTTTCTTTCTTTTCCTTTTCTTTTTTTACAGAGGAAAACCAGGTTGAGCTTGTGGTGGCACATTTCACTGGTGATAATACAGAGATCATACAGCCACTGAACGTGACAAACACACATGTTATTATTAACATCCAAGGCCTTTCCCTCTTTGGACTTCTAAAGAAAATGATTTTATATCCCAGTCCCATAAACGCCCAAGTGCTGCTCTTCTATAAAGAAATGATGGGCAAGCAAAAAAGGAAAACACTATACATTCATTTACTGCCAGAGAATGTTCCAGTGAAAGAGGTAAAGTGTTACTGTCACTTTATTCTAACATTGTCCATTACTCTGGAGCCCTGTTTAAAACTAGGGACAGATTTGCTAAAATGGTCACTAATTGTCAGTGGTCTACAAACAGTTTACACTGGTGGGAATGGTCAGTTTTGCAGATGATCTACTTAGAACTTTCATGCATATGAACAGCAGCAACTTCATAACGTATAACCCGAGTAATATAAACCCATTTTGATCATATAATTTTTGAATAGAAGCACCTTTATGGCAGGTATTGTTTGTTTGACCATATTTTGACTTACTGTATTGAAAATTTGACTTTTCATCTCAAAATAATGACTTGTTTCCCTTAATGTGCAATGAATTTCATAACTGGCTCATATAATCACATATCTCTTTTTTTTCTTTCCTGTGACCAAAGGTGGAGCAAAAGCATAAAGGTGTCTCATATTTTGAGACCAGCTCTGCATGTGAACTCATCCCTGGGAAAAGATACAGACCACGCTGTGACCCCTATGTTTCTGAACCGAGGGTAAAGTACCACCTCATGATGACACTGAAAGTAGAAAGCTCTGTAATGTTTACCTCTTTAAGGATGTTATCATGAGGTCAATTTGTTTTCCTAGGTTGCCAAATTTAAGTGTGACTATGGCCCAAACTATCACCCCACGTTTGTGGTGTTTCTTCAGGTTGAGGAGGTTACAGTAAGTCTTTTGGATAAGCACGGCATGGAGGTGTGGGAACCACATCAGATCCTTCTAACAACTGAAAAAACTGGTGAGCGATAGCAGAGCAGCTACGACCAACTATGTAGACAAGCCTCGAGATATATTTATCGTTTTTGGAGTAAAGCAACAGCATTTTTACATTAAAGAAGTAAATTTCTGCTGTTTTTCAAACTGTTTTGAGCTGTGAGTGTAGAGTTGTGTAGACTGAAGGTCTGAAGGATACACCAGCTGCGTCCTTCAGATTTTTCAGACGCATTTCTCGGCCACATTCGAAGGGTCCTACAAAACAGAACAACCATCAGTAATGTATGGCAGAGAAATGCAGCCTTCCTAGGCTGCCTCTTTAACTTTGAGACACAGAAAATCACTCTGTATATGATCTCATGGAATCATACAGCTTGCTTTCAAATGCTTATCAGGACATCACATGTCAGTCATATTTTGATTAGTGCTTGAAATTGCTGTGTCATTCCTAACAGGCTACAATCAGGTAGAATTTAATTTTACATATGGAGAAGTAGTTTTGCAGGATTGTGGTGGACAGTGACAAACCATATGAAATCAGTGTTGGTGCAGATCCTCTAGCAACTTCCCCTCACTGCATGGGTTGTGGCGTGGCAAAATCTACCACTGCAGTGGGGAAAAATTCAGCAGATTCAATGGGTTTCTTCATTTGTGTAATGACATAGAAAGGCCAACCAGCTGAATAGAGATCTGACATGGAAGGATATGGCGAGAGAAGGTGTCTCTGTTCTACTGAGTGAAAACATTATTTATCCATAGTAGCAATTATGGCATGATAGCTTAATATCACTTTGCTTACAGTAATTATTTACGGTGTTTGGAAAGTGTTTGCTTTATTTAATTTCTGTAGCTCTGTACCCATATACTGAAAATACAAGCTCCACCCCTGGAGTGGTGATAGATATTTGGAGATCTGTTTGATAGTTAACTCATCTTACCATCAACAGTAACAGTTTAGCTCACAGAGCAGCACTGCTGAAGGGTCCCAGCACACATTCACTCATCTATTTGCACAGCAAATTAATCTGTAACACTAAGACGTGCTAATTATTTAATACTGTCATCAGACTCTTACAACTGATTGGCGAATACCCTGATAGCGGTTTTTCACCAAAAAGAGTAACTGATGCTTTATTGATGATGGCTGATTCATAATGACTGACTGTCTCATTTTGCAGATGCAGTGGCCATGAGGGTGAACATTCTTCATTCTAGGGTGGCACTGGCCACCCATGGCCACTTCTGGCCACACTTCGTCTACACCTCTGGTACTCTATTCCCTGCATATACAAACCCCATTTCCGTAAAAGTTGGGACATGTTGTAAAATTCTCTTGAACTTTTGTTTAACTGACAAAAGTAGATGTTCATTTACAGTTCTTTGAAAACATTATTCTGAAGTCATTGTATTTCAGGTGTTCACAAAGTTTTGATTTCTGTCTTGTTACTTCAGGTCACAGTACAGAGACGAGCCCACCTACAGCAGAAGGAGGTATGATGTTCTTACTTAATGCACAACTGTGAATGCAATAAGAACTAAGAACATCTACATGTCACAGTTATCCTGACTGAATTAGAACAAAGAAGGACCAATCATGGGGTGGCTGCTTGTTTAGTGCAGGTTTTCTTTTTGCTAACTTAAAAAAATTCAAAGCTACACTTGAAAGTTGTTTTGGTCATGAAAGCCTGCTTTGAGACCCTCAGCAAATTATTAAATCTCAAAATGACAGACATAATTCTAGTGGCTAAAATTTTGGGTATAACAATACAATCAGTAAGTCTTGCACACATGTTCAGTGTAACTTTCCATAACAGTTCTAAGTGAAATGTGCTTTGCATATTGATTAGAAACCTTTGAGTAGCAGAATAGATTGTATCTGTTCTTTTGCAGGACAGGGTTATAATGGTAATATAATTGTGGTCATGCTAAAAGTCTTTGGAGCATCATTTACTTGAACATTGGCATGTTTTAAAAAGAATGCTTTAATGATAATTTTAATATTATTTTAATCTTTATTCCAGGAGCTGCATTTGTGGATGAACACAGAATAGAGCTCATTCAGAGAGTTTCCTCAGTGATGGAGATGGTGGACTGTTTACACAGTAAAAACATGATCACTGCTGAAATGTACAGCAACATACAAACTGCAGCACCATCTCAGAAACAAATGAGGATCTTGTACAGAGTTCTTGACTCAGGAGGAAAAGCTGTGAAAGCAGAATTCTATAAAGTTCTTAAACAGAAGCAGCCTTTCTTAGTGGATGAACTGGAATCTGGACCCAGCAGGTCTTAGTGGACCTTTAGAAGCGACAGTTTCCCATTTGGGGCTGTAAACAAACACTCCACCACTAAGCATTCCACCACTTCAAGGAATAGTTCAGCAAAAAATCAGATTTACAGTTTTTGCCCTTATCCCCAAATGGAGTAGATCAGCCAAGACGTTTTGGCTTCATTTTTTTTGGCTTCTTAGTTTTGAACCAGAGCTACGAGGATAATGTTACTAAGTCACACTAGAAGTAAATATTCCTTCAAACCTTTTCCACAAATACGTGCATTAAGGTCTTAATTAAGGTTACACAGACAAATTGATGTGGTTTAGAACAGAGTATGATTTACTATGAACTATAAAAATGAAAAAACTTCTCTGTGTAGCTAAAAGAAGGTGCAGCCATTTAGGACAACCGGAATCATTTATTTCCTGAGTGCAGTTTGGTATCTTTCCACACAAGATGACCAAAGACAGGGCAGGAATTCACAACACAGACATGCTAAAGGGTAACATAGAAGCTAAGAGAGTCAGAAAATCAGTACAATGTCTGATTACAAATTTGAGGGCAGTATTTTTCTGCACAAATGAGCCTCAACCGTACATGTTTGAACCTGAATATACACAGAATAGTACAGCAGCACCATTTAAGGTGGAATGGAAAATTTGAATAAGAAGCTTCAATGGTTGTAAAAATACTAATTTCACTTATTAGTAGTTCATTTTATGGTTACATTTTTTTAACCAATTTCTTGTGTTTAATTCAAAACTGTTACCACGAAGAGTAGGAAGCCGATTTCAGCCAACTTTAGATACATATAGCATGAAAGTGAGCACAATGACCTTGCACTGCAAAAATGATATAGTAGCAAGTAAAATGATCTTAAATCAAGTCTGTATATCTGATATTCTCAGTTTGAGACTGTTCTAAACTTACTATAAGATTATTTAACTTATTCCTAGACATTTTAATAGCCAATAAAGTGAAATAACTTGACTTAATAAAATCACTAAATGAGTTTAAAATGTCTAGAAACAAGTTAAATAATTTTATTTTATGTATACAACAATCCCATAATGAGAAATATCAGATATGTCGACTAGCTTTAACAAAAATACGCCTGCTAAGATATTTTTTGCAGTGTGGATTCACTTCTTTGAGGTGTCATCTATAAAAATGTTGCTGGTACTGTTGTAGATGTTAGAATATCCTGCTGGAGACTCCATCACCTCCCACACACTGAGATGTTACACAGAGACTTTACTGAATGTAATGTACCAGACCATCAGACTAGATCTCATTGTTCCGTTTAGCAACAGAAAAAAATCCTAATTTCAGTTTATCGTTATTTGATATGCAACTTCTAACTCTCTGACTGTAAGCAAGTATGGGAAGCAGGACGTTATGCAGATGATAGTGTAGTGGTTGGTATAGTGTAGTGAGAAACTCTGAGTATGACGCTACCAAATGCTGTGTCGTTCCACTTTTAGCTTAAATGTGTAAATAAGGTGTGTTCATGACACTTTACCAATATTTCTCCTAAATGGATTTAAAAACTAACTGACATGATGAAGTTGACGTTGAGGTGTGTGAAGATTTTGGCATGTATTTGAGGAAACTGATTTGGTGATTATTTACTTTTGGTGTTTGTTAGCACTGTTAGAAGCAAAACTTGGAAACCAAATGTGCCTTGACTGCATTTGGATTAGGTAGGGAAAAAAAATAAATAAATAAAATGTATGTCATATTTACCCACTAAACCATCAGTGAACACACAAACACTGCTGAAGCCAGCAACTCTTTTTACCTCTGAATCTAGTAACTGTATTAGAGTTACTGTGTTAGACATTTTTTACAGCCTCGAGGATAAAAAGAAAAATGCAGTTAGCACAGCTGGTACATTCATCATCAATGTGATCAGAGCTAAAATGTTCAGTTTTGTGTTAAAATGTCTACATAAACATTGTTTATATGTCTACATGTACACATATACAGTCAATGACAGAAACCAACTTCAGTCGTGTGAATGTTATGTTTTGGGGAGAGAACTAATGCTTTGTTGAGTGAGTATGTAGTTGTGTGCATGTGTGCTTTCTAAACCCTGTACTGAACTCTGCAAATGTCACAGTAGTTTAGGCAGGTCATATAAGCCTCTGACTGAGAGCATGTTTGAAAGCTGTAAATGTACAGTGATCACAATACACCTGTGTTAGCTAGCATTAGCTATTTAGCATCTGGCTTGAACAAAGTTTCTTAAAAAGTCCTTTTTTTTATTATTATTCTTTATTGAACTCTGTTTCTGGTCTTAGAGATTGAATTATGGCGTACATATGTTGCAGAGTGCGCATGTTCCCATCTGTCTATCTGTTATTTGTTATTACACCAATGCTCAGTTGTAGCTGTGGGCTGTGAGACAGCGTGTCTGGAATTGTATGTTTCAGTGAAATGTAAGTTAACATAAATGCAAAAAATGTATGTGTGACAGTAATTGTCACAAAAGCAGTCAACTTTTTTGTATGATCATTTTCCAACCTCTCGTTATCTTGTAGAAGTTTTTGTGTTACTGTGCATTTAAGACTGATATATGTACATGTTTTGATTGGCTGCCCTGCAGTGTATCTTGTTCAGAAAGCAGTCTGGGCTGGAATGTTGATGAATCTGTTAAATTTGGACTGAAATCCTCAGAGACACTGAAAAAAAATCTTCATCCACTCCTTTAAGATGTGTGGACCCTTTTGAAGGCTAATATAATCCACAGTGAGGAACAGCACAATGTTGAACTGTTTATCTCTAAAAAGGTGCTACAGACTCTGCAGTAACAACACTACACATCACTTCAGTGTAAATGAGCAGGAATGAATGGAGGCTCAGTGGGTGCTGGGGGTGGTGCTAAACTAATGTAGGCCTATTGGGTGATTTGTTTGTAAATGCTAAATAAACTATTATACATTTTCAAAATGACCTTTTTGGAGCTTTGTTTTCATGGACTGTATAAACTGTGGAGTGGACACTACATTTTAACACTTTTGAAAGAGTGTTTAAATTGTTTATTAATTATTATTTTTTTTAATTTCCAAAAGAAGGAGAATCTGTTTTTCCATGAAATGTGTCTCTTAAATGTAGCAAGCCTAGCAATGGTATACAAGCTACAGAAAATCAATGATCAAATGTTGTAACATGACACAGACTTACTCAAATATATTTAACACTGTGTTATTTTTTGGGAATTTGGAGACCCAATTGTGGAAATGTACAAGGTGTGAAATTCATGGGGTCCAAGGGGATCAGGATCCCCTAATTAACCTCTTGGACGCCCTGAATGTCTCAGAATGAAAATTATTATGACGTTAGGCTGTCATCGTTTAGCCTGCTTCACCCACAATCAGAGAGCTTCTGTTTTTGGTATTCTTGACTGATTACAGATGCAGCACTGTTCTGCTTTAGTGTGGTGCTCTAGCAAACTGGTTCACCCAGTTGGTCTGTCATGGCCTTGCAGCTGTAACTATGCCTGAGACACCTCGGAAAATTTTTACAATATGTCTTAACATATTTGTAAATCTGAAACCTTGCCTAAGAATGAAGAATGAATTATTACTCATTTCTGAAACTGAAGACAAAAGAGATGTTTATTAAATTAATGTGTGGAAGGCCACATCACCTAGAAAAGAGAGAAGAGCATTTCCAGAAGAACAGTTGTTAAACCAAACATTTTGTTGTCATTGATTGTCGTCAGCATCGCTATGGCGAATGAGCAGCTAGCCAACAGCTGAATTAGCGAGCCAACATGGGATCCCCCCAAATACCAGGGTGTATTTTGCACACTGAAAATGTGTCGTTATGATGTGTGATTTTGCGTATATGCAAGTCCATGGTGTGCATCCACCAGATTAACCTACAACTACATGCCTATAAATAGCGAGAGATGTGTTTGTGTGTTGTTTCGTGCTTGATCTTGATTTGACATTTGAGTATGGAAGTAGTCAGTAGAGTGTAGCAGAAGTTAATAGAGGGTAGTAGTAGTCAGTAGAGCGTGGTAGTAGTCAGTAAAGTGGGGTAGCAGTCACTAGAGTGGGGTAGCAGTCATTAGAGTGGGGTAGTAGTCAGTAGAGTGTGGTAGTTGTCAGTAGAGTGCGGTAGCAGTCAGGGGTAGAAACTGTTTATGTAATTATACTTGCTATATTTGGAAAAATAGTACTTTGCTTGAATCTTAATGAAACTAAATATATTTACTTCAATTACATTCTGAAGAGAAAAACATAAATTATGCTTGAAAGATTAAGTCTTACTTTTCTAAGTACTTTACTATTTTTCCTTTTTTTTTCTTCTCAATGAGTTTATGATTGAGAAGAAAGCAATACACAAGTATTCAACCCCTTAGAAATCCATCAGATTTGTCTGGATTATAAACAACACTTAAATAATTTTACTGTCATTGTGTTTTTAAAGACCGATGCTCAAAAAGTTTATTTAAAATATTGGTTTTATTTATTATTATTATATTTAATTATTATTTATTTAAAATATTCTGTGGCAAAAAATGACTAACTGAGAATGCTGTTTGCATAAGTATTCACTCCCTGTGCTGTAGAAGCTCCAAGTTTACACAGATGAAAGATACTGATATAATGAAGACAGCTGTTTTTTTTTTACCAGTGAATCATTAAAATAGCTCACCTTTTCTGGATAAAAGGACTGGATAAAATTTATAGACATGCACACAGATATCAGCTGTTGGAAGTGCAGTCACAAGATTCCTGATCACTGACAGATATGAGAAGTGATGAAATGATTATTGAAAATGTTTGCGTTGTGAGTTTCGTCATACAGATCAGACTTTTACTGCAATTTGAGACAGACTACAATTAAACACTAACAGCCTCTCACAGTTAAAGACAAACAACAAGGCAGAAATAGAGAGAGGAAGAGAGAGAGAGAGACAGAGGAAGAGAGGGGGAGAGAAAGAGGGACAGAAAGAGAGAGAAGTAGAGGGGGAAAGGAAGAGAGAGAGACAGAGAAAGGGCGGGGAGGTGGGGAGGGATCAGATCAGGCCAGTCAGCTTGAACAACGACAGCGCGGCAGAATCACTGTGCAGAGTTGATGAAGAACCTATATTAGACTAGATTTCTTGTCTCACAGCCGTTAGAGCTGTTTAGCTGAGATCAGCTAGCTCGGCTAATGCTGCCTCAGGCTGGAGTTGAGTTGTGAGAGCAGATCTCAGCAGGTTTTGTGTTTGGCTGCTGACAAAAACACCATTTTCTTTAGTTCATGTGAAAATGAATACAGATGACCGTTTGGACGTGGTCTGTTTCCCGTGTGAGCTGGTTAGGTCCTCCTCTTTCCTTCTTCACTAAACTGGACATCTCTGTGGTGTTTTTCCTGCCAGAGCTGCTGTTTTTTGATTGGTGAATCTTATAAATTTAACCATGCTTTGTTCATGTTGGGTTCTGAGCTGATACGCTTATTATTTATTTTTACTCCGTAACTTTATGAAACATTAAAGTAGCAAAGTAAAAGTATTTCATTAAAAATTCACTCAAGTAAGAGTCAAATTTGTGATTTAATTCTACTACAAAAAGTACAGTTACAGGGAAAACTGTACTCAAATATAGTAACGAGAGTAAAAGTAATTCATTACTTACACCTGAGAATAACTCAGCCTATTTGCATTGTAGTCCATGTAGTAACTGAATAAGAAAAATTATTATGTAAAAGGTCTGAGATTTTATGGGATTAAATCTGGACTCTGACAATTCAACTAATATAAAACTTTTACTGTACAGTTGGTTTCTGAATTACATATAAATAAAAAAATATAAAAGAGGTAAAGGTGGAGCAGAAGACAACACTAAACAGATCACAGTAGATCTTTCCTCTTCACTCTGATGGTTGGAGCAGCTCTTATCATTCAATTTACTGATTCTGCTGTGGTTGAAAGTAGTAAATCTGCTACACTAAAATATACATTAATACAATAACACACTGTATAATCACAGCAAAACCATATACAGTAACATTGCAGTAATACAGTAACATACTGTATATTTCCAGTAAAATGAAATGCAGTAACACTGCAGGGAGGGAAGTTTTCACCAATTCTGAGCTCAACACTCAGTTAAATCAGTGCATCTGCTGTGAATGAAAGTCAGTCAGCAGCTTTCACTGATCTGACTGAGTGATTATAACTGGATCTCTGCCCGTCCACCAAAAGAGCTGCTGTGTTAACCTGCTAAACAGTCCTCTAGTGTCCTCCTGATGATCATCTCCTCCTGCTGTGATTCGCTCTCTGAGTCCTTCTCTGACTCTCTATCTCAGTGTTTCTATCTCTCTCTCCTTTTCATTAATCTGACAATCAAAATCTTTCTGTTTCTTTGTCATGAGCTCCCAGATTCTCTGCTGGAGTTCAGGCAGGATGATCTTCATGAGGTTCCTCTCTGCTTCTATTCTGGCTTCTCCTTCATACGTCTCCCTGATCTCCTTCATATGTAAGCTATTGAGGCTCTTAAAATTAATGCACATATTCCTGCTTCCTCTTCTGCTTCTGCTTTTACCAAGATTGTTTTTCTTCTTTTGCTTCTTTCTTCTCAGTTCATTTATGCTCTTCAGCTTGTATTTTTGACTCTATGGTTCACTGTCTGTTAGCCCTGCTCTCCTTTATTCTCTCACTCTATTTTATCTTCTCTCATTCTCTGACTTTTACCCACAGCTGATTTGGTCAGAGTCTATACAGTAGTTTTTTGGTGTATGTTTATGCTTTTTATTCTCATTACCACAAGGTGGTATATCTATGTCTCATTACCGATGTGTCTTATTTTTAATAACTCTTTTAAATAATTACCCTAAAACTATTAAATATGCAACAATAACAAGTGTAACTTGTTCATGAATATTAAGATTATACACTGACATGTCAAAAGTCATGGGATAGCAGTATGTAAATTGATTATGAAGTGGTGTCACCCCAGTGGACGGCTTGGGAATGTCCACACTTGTTTCATTTGTAAAGTGTTGTCATGTGAGTGAGGTTGAACACTGGCCAGCGTGCTCATGGCAAGGCGACATGAATTATCAGAGTTTGAACGAGGCATGATAGTGGGTGTCAGACGGATGGGAAATTCCATTTCTGACGTTGCGCAAGCATTTCACATTCCTCGATCCATAATGTCATATGTGTATCGGGAATACGTTAATGCTTAATGATCATGACCAGCTGCATCTATCTATAATTGTCCGTGCGAACAGACAGGCGGCACACCGGACACAGCGCCTCACATGGACTTGTGAGATTGTTACCTGGACCCTAAAAGACTGGCAACATGTGGTGTGGTCTGATGAGTCATGGTACCTATGTGTTATGGACCCCAGCTGTCAACAAGGCACTGTGCAGGCTGGTGGTGGTTCAATACTGGTGTGGGGTCTGTTCTCATGGGTTGGGTCCACTGGTCCGCCTGAACATGTCATTGACCAGTGACCTCTATGTTTCACTGCTTAGTGACCATTTGCAGACCTTCATGGACTTCATGAACCCCCACAATGATGGAATATTCCAGCAGGATAATGCACTTCGCTGGACCAGAGGGATTCCTACATGATACTAGATCCTGTCCCATGGTTTTTGGCACGTCAGTGTATATTGATCACTCGCAAAGAACACCAATTAGCATGAAACTGTGAGACTTACAAAAGATTACAGTGAGAAACACAATCACAGAGTCAAGTACCTGATTACTTTTCAGTGTTTTGCTACATTATATTAATACAGTTATAACAAAATGGAATCCACTCACTGCTTTAAAGTTTCAGTTCATGGTAGCTGATGAGTCATTAAGGTGACTCTGCAGTCACAAAAGTGCAAAATGAATGACCTGCTGAACGGAGTCAGAAGTAGTGAGGTCCAGGCCTGATTCTGAAGGAACTTGTTGTCAAATCACTCATTTAAAAGTAAGTCACAGTAATGTACTGAATCTGTCACACAGACTATACAAGAAACTGCAACAAGTCCTCATCTTTCACATGACCATCAACAACTTCACATCAGCATCACTTATAAGAGGTAATCGTAGAGTTCATCTCTGAAAACGATAGAAGACCATGAATAAAAGACTGTCTGTACAGAAAGTATCACATCAGTAATATTACAATAACAAACAGTGCTTAAACCCACCAAGCTCTTTCTATCCAGTCTGTATGTTCAGCATTACAGGAGCATTTTCAGCATATTGATCTTACTGATTTCCAATGTATTTATGGACCTCCACCTGTAACAGGCTACTAAGTGCTCCCACTCTCTGTGCCAGTGTCTTCAACTCTCTGTCCTTCTCCTCCATCTGCCTCCTGAACTCTTCCTGCATCTTTGACTTTGATATCAAAATGTTTCTCTGGAGTTCAGGCAGGATGATCTTCATGAGGTTCCTCTCTGCCTCCATTCTGGCTTCTCCTTCATACGTCTCCCTGATCTCCTCCATCTCCTGTCTGTGTTGTTCCTCCATCTCTCTCTTCTCTTTTTCAGTCTCTTCTTTCAGTCTTTCTAGCTGAAGCTGAACCTCCTTCCTCTGCTGAATCTCTCTTTCTAGCTCTCTTTTCAACTCTATCTTTTTCTGATCATCTCTTTCCTCTTTTAACTCTTTCTCAAGTTTAGTTATTCGCTCTTCATGCTGATTTATTTGTTCATGACATTTAGCCGTTAATTCCTCAAATTTCATTAAAGTGTCCTGTACACATCTCTCCAGCTTCTCTCTAGTTTCTCTTTCTTGTTTCTCTCTCATCTCCTCTCTTTCTCTCACAATTCTTTTCTCTATCTCTCTGATCTGAGATTGTGTCTCCAGGTAGATCTCACTGCTGTAGAATTTCTCTCTGTTTCCTTCCACCATCTTCTCTATCTTCTCCAGCAGCTCTGAGGTTTGAGAACCATCTCCACTCTCCTTAATGCTGAGACAGTAAAACCTGTTCCCACATTTCTCCACAAGTCTCTGGACCTCCTGGTTTCCTGACTGGATAAACTCTTCAATGTTCTTCTCTTGGACTTCATCAGTCACAGTGAAAAGGATCATGGTGTTCCTCCAACATCTCTCTCCAAAGATCTCCTCCATTTTCTCCAGCATGCCTCTCTCCTCTCCTGTAGACTGCTTCACTGGTATGACTAGGAGGAAGGCGTGGGGTCCTGGGGCAGACAGACGGACACAGAGTCCCACGTCCTGTCTCAGCTCCTCCAGAGAGAGTCCAGGACAGAACCAGTCAGGAGTGTCCACCACAGTCACCTGCCTCCCAGCCACCTCCCCCTGTCTGCTCTCACTCTGCTGCCTCACTGTAGATGCTCCAGCCTGGCTCCTCTCCTCTCTGCCCAGGATGGTGTTTCCTGCTGCTCTCTTCCCACATCCAGTCCTCCCCAGCAGCACCAGCCTGAGCTCTGCTACAGGAACTGACTCTTGAGGGGCTGAACTAGAGGATTCTCCCATCACTGTGAATCAACAACAATGAAGAAATTAGGAATTTAACATGAAAAGAATAACTGCATCTTTGTTATTGTGCTATTCCATATTCATGACGCCACATCAAATACTAATAATTTACTGTTTTTAGAACATCCATCCAGTTTGATGAGTCTCTACACTCAGTATAAAACAGCAGGAAGCATCTCTTTAAAATGTATTTGCCTGCACACAGTGTATGTTTACATATTTAATCACTGACATATACTTTGTTGGATGATAGTGGTAAATGAGTACCGTAATTCTTATTCTAAAAATTTAAACATACAATATTACATCTGTCATAGACATTAATCAGATTTTTTTCCTTCTTTTGTGTCACAAATCACTCACTTGCTGGAGGTCTAATCTCTTTGCTATGTCTTCTCCTGGCTGGAGCTGCTGAGTCTGGATCTGTTCTCTCCTGCAGCTGCTTGTTTCTCTCCTCTAGAAGTCTGTCTTTCTCCTCAACCTGCTTGTCTCTTTCCATTAGCTGTGTGTTTCTCTCGCTTAGAAGTCTCTCCTTCTCTTCAAGCTGTTTGTCTTTTTCACTCACTTCAGTTTTCTGTTGTTCCAGTAGGATCATCATCTCCTGTAGTTTGCTGCTCTTGTCCTGCAGTTCCTTTCTCAGAGTCTCCAGCTGCTTTTTACTGCTTTCCTCCTCTTTCACTGTGATCTCCAGTAGAGTCTCTTTCTCTCTCAGCAGTTTGATCTGATTCTCCAGTTGTGAGTCTTTATCTTTAAGCTGTTTATTAACACTTTCTAATCTTTCATTTGTTTCCTTTAATAATGAATCTCTCTTATCAACAGTCTCTAAATGTTCTTTAATAATCGTGTTTTTATCTTTTAGTTCTTGTTTTGTCTCTTTTAATTCTTCATCTTTCTCCACAAGTCTTTTCTCCATTTCTTCCATTTGTATTCTATGATTCTCTAATGTCTTTGTTGTTTGTCTCAGTTCATCTTGTGTCTCTGTGAGAAGTTTGTCTTTCTCTTCTAAAATCTTCTCCTTCGTCTGAAGTGTTGTTGTATTTTCTGTCAGAAGTCTGTCTTTCTCCTCCACTTGTTTTTCTCTCTCCATTAGCTGTGTGTCTCTCTCAGATAGAATGTTTTTAGTTTCTTCGAGCTGTTTGGTCTTTTCAGTTAAATCTGTAGGAAAATAGAAATTCAGTCTTTCTAAATTCACTATGTGCCAAGTTAACAGATACACAGTACTGAGATTTAACAGCAGTAGGAGTTTACTGTTAAGAAAGCATAAAAGTTTTCTCTCTGGTAAAAAGTCTAGAAAAATCAGTTGGGATAAGAAGAGTTGAATAAATTAATGAGGAAAGTAATTGTAGAGATTAATTACAATAACATTACCAGTGTGTTCAAAACTTTGAACACACTTTAAACTTTTTCTGAAGACTTTTTCTTATTTTTACTTTTTTTCTCATTTTAGATTTCTAGTGAAGTAGCACATTTAAAATTATGCAGAGACAGAAAAAGTGTTAAACAACCAAAAATATCTAAAAAATAGCCTAAATATAATCAAGAGTTGAAACAAAGAAAATAATGATAGAGAATAATTAATAACAATTACACCACCAGTCAACAGACTTATTTAAATAATGTTTTCTCTTATTTATAATATTTTCCACATGCCATACATTGCCAGTGAAAACATCAAAACAATAAAATAACACATACAGAATTATGCAGAGACCAAAAAAGTGTAAACAAATCAAAATTATCTCCTGAATTTTTTTTTTTTTTTTATTTTAAATGCTGCACTTTGCCTTGTCGCCACTTTACACACTCCTGACATTCTCTCAAGCCAGTGTGAGTTTAAGGGGAGTCTGACCAGTTCATATTACTCACGTTATACCAAAAACATGACTGCAGAACACTAAAGAAGCCCCTGGGCGAGTTCTCAATAAATGGGAGTGAATGAAGCTGAATGGATAGAAATGAAAATTTACATTTCTTTCCATTTATATAAGACCTTCCTTTAATTTTGGAAAGCAGAAATTTTAAATGATTTTTCCTTTAAAACTACAAAACAAAACATTAGTTTTTCTGAAGCAGACAAGTTATAAGAAATTGGATGCCAGCATTGCTGCTACTGAGTAATGATTGTTTGGTGAGCTCATTGGCTGAGTAAAGTAATTGATGCTCATGTATCTTTAACAACTTGGCTCTTTTTATAAAAGTTTCTATCTCTACTGGAAGTAAAGTTAGTCTACAATTCCTGCATTAACTTTAGTGGCAGAAGCTTTACTGTGACTTAACCAGCTCACTAAAGAACATGATCAGATAAAAGTAAAGATCCAGACCAGCACCTACACTGAAGAAATTCAGTATCAGTTTGAAAAAGCTGGTGAGGAGTGAAAAAGGAGAGGAGAGGACAGAAAGAGGCTTTAAGTTAATGATCTTGTACAACAGGATCTCCAACAGAAATCCTGTTCCTGCAGAAACTCACTTCAGCCTGCACACTCTCAGAACTGTCACTGGGATTATACCCCACTTGTCACTGGGGTGGTCCCCTCAAGGGTCCATCTCAGTACCTTTAGTCAGGGAACATAACTGTACCATAATCCACTGAAATTATATTTTATATAAGTATTGACTCCACACACCCCGTCTTATCTCCAGGCTTTTATTTTATTGTTCTGTTCTAAAAAATTAGGTTATGAAAAGATACAAATATGTATGTTTAACCTTGAAAAACTTATTTAAGGTAAACAATTGGCCTTTAAAACTTTAAAATTTGAGGGCACCTTTACACTGTTTGTACCTTGATGAATGAAAAATGTACCTGCACAGAACCTTTATTTCTAACAGTGCACAGCTGCACTGATTTCTAACAGAGACTTTAATGATCTGAGCAAAGCTGACAGCAGTAGAATGTGTTTTAGTTAAAGCTGGTTATTCTGTTCCACTGTTCATCAAATCACTGCATTTAATGAGAAGATTCCAAAATACAGCTTCCTCCTTCAGACTTATCAGACACCTCCCTCATCACCTGACAACATCTGCACTCTCACAGCAGCTACACAGAGTCACACAGAGATGAGCTAAGATCACTGATTTAAGACTAAAACTCTGATCAGAACCACAGAGCAGGAGAAGCAGGAGAAGCTGAATCAACAGAATTCTACAGTTTAATATCCAATAATAATCAGGTCAACATTTCCAGAATGGGGTTTATATTAAAACATATTTTTTTATTATAATAAAAAAAGAAATTTGCCCACATTACACCATTCCAATTTAACAGGTTCAACTGTCAGTGTGTTTTATTTTGTGTCTCCTTTAAAACTCACCCATAAGCAGAAGAGATTCCGTCATTTTCATTCTCTCCTCTTTTCTCCATTCTCTGTTACTCTGTAGAGAATAAAACAGAGTGAAGATGTGATGATGGTTGGTGTCAGTATGAATCACTGAGAGCTGATATTACTAACAGTAGAGTCTCTGCTGATTGAAGCTGATTGAAATATTTAAGCTCAGGTGGAAGAAGTGATTAAAGCAGAGTTAGAGCAGGATTTTATAACAGGAGTAAAACTGAACATCTGACAACAAATCAACAGTTGTTAGGGTGATGATAAGGGAGTTAATACAGTGATCAGAAACAACACTGATATTAATATTATATGACAATTCATATATATATATATATATATATATATATATATATATATATATATATATATATATATATGTATCATTAACTACTTAATAGGTTAGCAAATTACTAAAACTATTTTTAGGTTTTATCAGTGAACTCACCTGCTGCATGAAGAAACCCTGGAGAGGAGAAACTGATTAGTGAACGAATTTCACCTCCAGAACATTAATCACATGAGATTTCTGTTTGTATGAGGCTGATTATAAACTGAACAGTAGTGAAAAACATTAATCAGCTCAGAGCTCATTGTGTATGTTTTATAATTCCCAACTAAACATTACATTTTGGAGACAATAAGCAACAGAATATTTAATTATTATAATAAAATGGTGATTTATTTAGAATCACTGTATCAAAATAAAAACATTCCATTTCAGTCTGTGGTTCACATCTCCCTCTTCTATTAATCACCTCCTATAAACAGGAGATGTTAAGCTGAGTCATGTGTAAAGACGGACTGTGGACTAAATGATGCCTCATCAGTCCATCTAGAACTCCTCCACACACTAAAGGAACACAGGTGGAGCTGCTTTGTAGTGGAGGAGAATATGAACTATTTAACTGGAGTACATGAGTAGAAGAGCAGGCTGGAGATGAGAGAGAGCTGCAGACTAAATAAGAGAAGCTGATCATTCTTAAATGAAGTGAATGGAAGTGAAGGAGATGAGAGGATCTCAGTAATCGAGTCTTTCAGAGCTGCTGACTCTTCATTATTAGCTGCTTGTTGTGAGTCACTGATATAGAGACTCATCAAACAGGCAGATAGTGTGTGTGAGTGTGTGTCAGAAGCTCCTGCTGTTTGTGTTCTGGGCTATTTTCAGTAATGGAGGAGAGGAAAACTACAGTAATGAGAGACACTCTAATGATAATGATGTACTGATGATGAACGACTCAAATATTCCATCATCACACAAGAACAGTGACATCACTCCCAACAGAGCCAGACTGCTTTTATTTGTTGTGTCTTTTTCTTGTCAGTGAACTTCACTGTCTCCACATTTCTGCAGTGCAGTGGGATTATGCACAGGAGCATTGTGGGAAGGAAGGAGGGAGACGAAGTCAAAACCTTTCATTCTGAGATCAGAGACTTTGTTCATCATGTGAAATTTACCTGAAACTCAATATTATGTAGCTGCTTGATGTCTGTATTGAATGTAGTTCATGTGGTAAGAGTATAAAAATCAGTTATTTACTTACCTTTTGTGCTGTGGAATAAAAACAGAAGGAAAATTTAGAATACTTGGAAAACAGTCTTTTTAACTCTTTATCTCCTCATCAGAATCTCCTTTTCTCATCTGTACTGTAGTTCTTCATCCTTCACTACTGAACTGTCACTCAATGCTTTCAGTTCAACTCCATGAAGACGTTCAGCTAAACAGTTAAAGTGTAAACCTACAGCAAAAACTCAACCCTTATAGAAATGATTGGTAACACTTTACAATAAGGTTCCTTAGTAAACTAGTAATTATGCATCAACAACTCATGAACTAATATAGTAATTATCAGTAATGAATGTTGTGTTATGCTTCATTACTGATGAACAAACATGAGAAGGAATTGTTTTTATTCCTGCAGCAGTTAAAATCAGATAAAGTACATTTACAGAATAAACAGAGAGATTAACTAATAACTAAGATTAACTGATATATGAACTAACATTGAAAACTAACTGATATAATAACTATTATTAACTGTTATTAACCATTATTAAAATAGTGTCAATCAGGAACAGATCATGAAATAACATGTAGGTCAGTGTTATTGAGGTCTGCTAAAGCCTGAGTAGACTGATAAATGATTGTGATGATCAGTTATTAATCTCAGTGGTACTGAGCTCTTTGTAAGGAATGATCAAACTAATAAACTTTTTCTTTGCTGGAACAGAATGAATTAAAATGAAGTAAAAAAAAAAACTTAGCGAACACTAGCACCCACTGGCAAAAGTGGATACCCCTATTATAGGCTACAGGTTTTATAGGGTTTTTCTTGCTATGTACCCACATCTTCATGTTTTAGTTGTCAAGCTTGTTGCTCGGACAGCAGCTGATGAAGATAGCTAGCTAGCCAGGTTACCATCTTCACCTTAGCTGGGCAGCACAGAGAAAGGGCTAAGAACTGAAACATGAGGATGTGAGTTAATAGCAAGAAATACCCTATAAAACCCAGAGCTAATATCAAGGCTGTCCACAAAGGGCAGTTTGGCTTTTACCAGAGGGTGCTAACATTAGCTAAGTGTTTATGGATGAGAGCATCAGTGCAGTAGAAGACCTGGACGTGAAGGTCGATACGTAATGTCTTAACAAGCGGATCACTATTCCTTCAGGACTTGTTGGTGCATAATTACTAGGTTACTAGGGAACCTTACTGTAAAGTGTTACCAATGTATTTCTATTTGACCCCTTAACAAGCCATGGGCCCAAAGTATTATTACACAATTTTATAACATAAGGAAAGCTGCATTAGTTTGCATTGAGGTCCCCCCACTTTCGGTTTTATATGTGTTCCTTTCATTTAGTGTGTTCAATAAACCCCTGTATTTCTTCTTCTCCTGAAGCTACACTACTGTCAGAAGTAGGACAGCCCCCCAGTGACGTGGAGGAGAATGTCACTACCCCAAACTCAAAGGCATGTGGTTAAAGACCATGACAATGGGGATGATGCTGCAATGCAGGAAGATGGCCTGACAAGACTCGATGGCGCGACAAGACCAGAGGCCAGAGCACAGGCAGGAGTGCCCAACAACGGGGTCAGCTTAAACACATTTATTTAAGCTCAGTCATGTATAAGGACATATTTATGAACATCTAGTCCATAAATATTTTAATATTTGTATATTTGTCAAGTCACAATATATCTCTCAGAAATAAGAGAATCTCATGAGATTAAAAATACAACAGGATTTTAAACAATAATATAATCAATAAACATAATCGACCCCCAACAACAAGACATCAAATATGTCAGCCCTCAAAAAGAACACAGGCTTTCTGGAGCTTCATAAAGATGAATCTGTACATTTAGTGTTTTTCTATTCACTCGTTCACTGTTTTTATATTGTGTGTATAGTTAAAAAGCTCATGTTCAAATATTATTAAACAATAAAGGAGTCACAGCTCATCTGTCATTTTTATGTATTAATCAGACAGAACTGTCCTTATTGAGGAAAAAATATTGAAGAGAAAAGATTCTTCCCTTAGAGAAAATATAGGCTCAATCCCATTTCACCCATTGCCCCTACCACTTAGCCCTTAGCCCTCTGTTTTGCACATTCACGTCTCGGGTAAGGGTGTCCCAATTTTTGTTGGGATAGAGGGGTAGGGTGAAGTGTTAGGGCTACATGGCCCTCCAAACTGAGGTTTTTCAGAATCACACTCCAAATGGAGTGCTATGAGAAAAAAAGAGAAAAGCCGGCAAGACGGCTGCACGAGTGACCAAAGAAAGCCACAAACGTGAGTATTTTCTCTGTTAAAAAGTATGATAACCATTGTATTATCTTAGTTTAATGTTGTTTCAATGTATTATGGTCATTTTCTTCGTAACAAGCATAAAAAATCGCTAATAGTATGCTAATGTTTCGGTAGCTGGCTAGCTAATTTTCCCGCTCCACCTTAAATAGTCCAGCAGTATTGACGTCTGAAGAGTGTAACTGATGCACCATTTAAGGTGGAACGGGAAAATTCAAACAAGTAGCTGGTGAATAGGTGATAGGTGGTTAATGAAGTAATGTTTGTTTGTTTGTTTTTGTAATTTGAGGGTTGTCCCATTTTGTAGGGCAAGATTTCAACCACTACCCCTTGTAACTCTGTTCTTGTTACTCTAGGTGACACTCGAAAACAAGGGGTAGGGGTAAAAAGAAGAAATGGGATTGGGCCATAGACTCAAAAAGATCTAAAATTGATTTTTAGTTGTGTAGCCATTTTAAACAACTTTTTTTGTTCATGTTTTTTATGCTTGATATTCTAAAGTTTGAGAGGAGAAATGAATGAGCTCTAAACTAAACCTGATAACTAAAGAGATCTAAAATACCATTTCTAGCCTGAGATCTGCTGCTCTGTAGCTTCTGAGAAGTTAGTCTGATCGTCTCCTTAATAAGTCTGACTCTCTGCTGCTTCTCTGACTGTCTGTAACCTGTTTGTTCTGTCTTTACTTCATGATCCAGCTGACTTAATACTTACAGTTCATAATTAGCTCCATTATTGTCTTCATAGAACAGTTTTAAATATAAATGCTGATATAAACGTGAATCTGCTTTTAAAGTTCATGTAAGGAAATGATTCTAACACAAATTTCTGATTATATTAATGATAATCAGTGTGAAAAACTGTGAGCTTCACTGTGTAATCTGTCAGTATCAGTGTGTAGATCAGATGTGTGTGAGTGTGTGTATGTGTGTGTGTGTGTGTGTGTGTGTGTGTGTTTGTGAGTCTGTGTGTGAATGAGGTAACAGTGTTATTAATGGTGTTCAGTCATCTCAGGCTGCTGTGAGCTCTACACTATAGTGATACATACAGAGCTGAAGTGTGTGTTAGTAACTTTCTCTGCTGATGATGTTCAGCTGAACACTCTGAACACACAGTACAGATAAATACATTCAGTCTTTACAACACAAACATTCTTCATCAACAATCAGCACATCACAATAAAAGCATTACACACTGAATTATACTCACCTCTCTGTGCTCTTCCCTCTGAAAGCCACTGTGAAGTGAATAATATCATGTGAAGATTTCATGCATGGAATCCTAAGTGAATGATTATGTTTAAATGTTAGTAAAGCTGGAAATGTAACAGCACAGTGAATGTGGATGATGCTGCACTGTTGTTTGGGGGGCTTTTTCTTTTCTTTATGTGGGTCTGATACAGACTGACAGTGTTACTTTTTAGAGCAAGAAATCTTTGGTTCAGTATTTTATTTGCTACTGTTCTGTCTGTGCCCTCTGTCTGTCTGTCTCTCCATATTTTCCTACATTACTGTATTATAATGCATTGATGATATGTATGTATATGAACGTGTCTTTATTGATTATTAAAATAACCATCTGCTCTCACAGTCAGTTGTTTATTGTGTTTGTTCACTGCTGGACTGCACTGTGAGGAGAAAGTCTAAAATTAATATAATAACTGAAATAAACTTCACTTATATAGAATCAGTGTGGAAAAAAATCTCTATTTCAGTCTGTCTTACACCTCTCCCTCTTCATTCTCTCCTCTCTTATCTGTTATTACAGACTGTAGAAGTGAATAAAACAACCTGAAGATTTCATGCTTGAAGCCATTAGAGACACATGAAAAATGAAATACAAGTTCTCTGAAATCTCTCCCTCAGCTTCTTTAAGAACAGTTATATACTTTTTTCTGTTCATCTAGAAGATATATGCTGAGAGATCTGCAGACTGAATAAGAGAAGCTGATTATATTATTCTTAAATGAAGTGAATGGAAGTGTCAGGCTCTGACAGAATTCAGACGCTCCCAGACCGGTGATTTTAACTCACCGTCTCACTGAGTAAAATTGGAGAGAAGCTTGTGGTAACAGGAGCTGGCCTTGAGTGTTTACATCCATTTGGACAACATCTGCATGACGGCAAAGTATTCTGTCAGGCTCAGACAGGGAGACTGGGGGCGATTGGGAACAAGAAGGGGCATGAGGTTCCCTGCAGGTAGTGTTGGGATCTCCAGTATGTGGAGACAAAACTGCACGAACTCCAGATTCTGATGCATCTACTTCTACAAAAAAAAAATTAAAAAATGAAGGGTCTGGGTGTCTGAAAAAGGGGGCTGTGGTGAAAGCAGCTTTTAGAGCAGCAAATGCCTTCTCTGCCTGGGGACTCCAAACAAATTTTTTGAGGCTCCCTTAGAAAGAGCAGTCAGAGGAGTGGCGACAGAACTGAAGTTCCTAATGAACCTTCTATAAAAATTGGTGAAAAAAATCTCTTAACTTCTTTCACTGATGATGGGACAGGCCAGTTAACCACAGCATCTACCTTATGGTCATCCATGACTACCCTGGTGGCACTAATTACATAACCCAGGAAGGATAGAGTCTGTAAGTGAAACTCACATTTCTCTCCTTTCATGTACAGTTGATTATCTAGCAATCTATGAAAAACTTCACAAAAATGCAAAATGTAAGAGTCAATGTCAGGGGAACATACCAGAATATCATCAGTGTAGACGATAACAAATTTTCCCATCGTGTCACGCAGCGTGTCATTTATGAAAGACTGAAAGACGGAAGTGGCGTTAGAGAGCCCGAATGGCATGACTAGGTGCTCATAGTGATCGCTAGAGGTCACAAAAGTTGTCTTCCATTCATCAACTTCTCTGATACGAATAAGATTATAGGCACTACAGAGATCTAACTTGGTGAAGAACTGAGCTCCACCGTCCTTCTTTTGAACAAAGAAAAAATCCTGAAGCTGAGGGAGATGAAGATGCATAAAACCTTGATCTAGTGCTTCATTTATATAGTCCTCCATAGCTTTCCCTTCTTCCAAGGTAAAGGGATATACTCTAGATTTGGGAAGGGTAGCTCCCTCAATTAGATCTATCGAACACATAACAAGGTACAGGAGCAAAGAATCAATAGTCAGGTGAGGCAGAATGGTGTTGTCATGAGAGTCCAGAGGTTGGGAGGCAGAGACAGTGAGAATGGAGGGAAGCATGACATGAAGTAAAGGAGATGAGAGGATCTCAGTAATCAAGTCTTTCAGAGCTGCTGACTCTTCATTATTTGCTGCTTGTTGTGAGTCACTGATATAGAGACTCATCAAACAGGCAGATAGTGTGTGTGAGTGTGTGTCAGAAGCTCCTGCTGTGTGTGTTCTGGGCTGTTTTCAGTCATGGAGGAGAGGAAAACTACAGTAATGAGAGACACTCTAATGATAATGATGTACTGATGATGAACAACTCAAATATTCCATCATCACATAAGAACAGTGACATCACTCCCAACAGAGCCAGACTGCTTTTATTTGTTGTGTCTTTTTCTCGTCAGTAAACGTCACTGTCTCTACATTTCTGCAGTGCAGTGGGATTATGCACAGGAGCATTGTGGGAAGGAAGGAGGGAGATGAAGTCAAAAGCTTTCATTCTGAGAACAGAGACTTTGTTCATCATGTGAAATTTACCTGAGACTCAATATTATGTAGCTGCTTGATGTCTGTAATGAATGTAGTTCATGTGATAAGAGTATAAAATCAGTCACTACCAGCAGAGAAAGAAGTAAACAGTTATTTACTTACCTTTATTGCTGTGGAATAAAAACAGAAGGAAACACAAAGTTAAACAAATCTCCATGAGAAAGATTTTACATTCAGAATACTTCCGTCCTTTTAACTCTTTATCTCCTTATCAGAATCTCCTTTTCTCATCTGTACTGTAGTTCTTCATCCTTCACTACTGAACTGTCACTCAATGCTTTCAGTACAACTCCATGAAGATGTTCAGCTAAAAAGTTATGTGTGAACCCAGCGTAAATCAGTGTCACTTTTATGTTCTAATTTAAAATTTTAATCTAAAATAGAAATTTTGTTCTTATATAAGTTTTTAATTCAGCTGCAGTTGTGAGTTTTCCACTGTGCAGTCATGATGTGGAGGTTTAGAGTCAGAGTGAGAAACAGAGTCACTGTTTTTTCTACTGAAATGCTCCATCTGTCCTTCACTCCACATTAACATCATTTATCCTCTGTATGTTTTACCTCCTTTATCTGAACGCAACACCATTCTGAACATCTGTGTTTCTCATTTATGTCTTTTCATCTTTCATTCTGAGATGAGACGCTGATGATGATGATGATGATGATGATGATGATCAGTTTATTTAGAGTGAACTTCTGGAATACTTACCATCCCTCATTTCTACTGTAATCTCCTCTGTTGTGTCTCCATTGGTGACTTGACACAGATAATCTCCTCTATCTGACCATCTACAGTCTCTGATCTGTAAGGAGACGTTTCCTCTCTGCAGCTCCTGAGTGAACAGACTCACTCTGCCCTCGTAGCCCCTCCCCTCTGTCACCTGCCTGTTCTTATAAAGACAAACACAGTCCGTCTCCTTAAACCACCTGATCTCCATGGCAACAGCACTGATTTCAGGAGACAGGTGACAGGAGAGAGTGACCTCAGAGCCAGACTGAAACTCTTTTTCATGAGGTCCAAAGAGTTTAAACTCATCTGCGTAGAAACACACACACACACACACACACACACACACACATTAATAGTTGTGTCTTGTGTGTCTCCACAATAAAAATAAACTCTCTGATTGAATATTATTTAATATTATTTAATGATGTTCACAGTAAAACCTTTTGTAGGTTCTGGAAGTTTAACTTACTGTTTCTTGCAGCCGCCATTTTAATCTCTTTATCTCCTCCTACAGATTCACACTAATACAATCCTAGAGAGAGAGAGAGAGAGAGAGAGAGAGAGAGAGAGAGAGAGAGAGAGAGAGTGAGAGAGAGAGAAAGAGAGAGAGAGAGACAGAGAGAGAGATTGATTTACTCACAGTTACATAAAGATACACATAAATGATCTGAGTCATTCTATGGAAACATCCATTTTTTTGTCCCCAGTGTTTAGAGATATTTTACACTTGAAAAACATGTCAAGGTTTTTCTTTAATTTCAGTTTAGCAATATTATCCAGAATTCCAAGCACCACAAAAGTGCTGTTCCTCATGTTTAAAGGGTGAGAAACACATTTTCTTTGCTATTGTAACTGCAATAATCTGTACATGACTATGAAACACATGATTTAAATGACATAAAGAAAACAAATGACAAATAAATATTATAACATAAATAAAGAAAGTTGTGGTCCCCAGGAGTCCGGTCGCTGCATAACAAAAAATATCTTATTTTGAAATAACAATCACACTGATGACATTACTTTCTTTCTTTTACCTAATTTTTGAAGGTATTTTTGAAGGTAAATAGTAAGTCCACTATTGCTTTTCAGTTATCAGAACATTTCTCATTTAGCTCATGATTTCATATGAAGCTTTTAGTTGAGGTCACTGATATGACCTACTTTATTCTTAGATAACTGTGAAATGGATTAAATTATACATTTTAGTTGATATTCCATGATTGACAACATGTGGTTTGATGCTGATTTGATGTAGCAGTTATTTTGTAAAAAGCATTTTTCATTAAAAATGTCTCTGGTGTTACTGATGTAACACCAATGACGATCAGTAACACCAGTGACTCCTATGGATAGATGAAAAGTGGACATTTCTGTAGAATGACCCATATCATAATCATAAAGAAATATTTTATTTAATGTATTGTTTATATTAGTTGTTGTTCTTTTCCACTCAGGTTTGATGGTCACAGTTTATCCTGGTTAGCATGATGCTAACTGCTCTTACCTTCGCTGTTCTTCATACAGTCATATTGCAGCTGGTGGTGAAATATGTCCACATTTTAAATCAGTTCATATCAGGTTTTTGTCTATAACAGCAGATCCATAATAATAAGACCGAGTTTAAACTCTCCACTAATCTCACACACGACTCTCCACTTTAGCGTCCAGAGCGGAAGAAGCAGCGACCACTTTCACTTCCACCTTCATTCCAGTCACAATGTTTCTGGTTGCCAGATTGTTTCCAGGATTTCCAGAACAGCAACTTTTCCAATTCCTCCCAAAATATTCTTTATCAGAAACAGACAGGGGGGCAGATTTGATCAGATAACTGTGAGAGTGACCAACAAAAAAGTAGGTAAATAAAATATGTCTAAAGTTTCCAAACTGACATAATATCTAATGATTTATATGACAATATTAAAACAAAAACAAACAATATTAATAACAGTATAATAACAATGTCATGTGGTTTCTGCTACATATTCAGTAAAGAAGTTCGGTTTTATTTTTCATTACAGTGACAGTTTTTTCTTTCTATCTCTTTCAAAATATCTCAGTAAAATATCTGAGTAATAATAAAGTGATGATGATTAAACAGAAAGAGAAAGGACTATTAACTGTTATGGAAAGTCAACAAATGATCATTATACAGAAATCCGTGTTGAAAATGATGTGATTTATAAATGCAGGCAGGGCAGGTTAGCACTTCTTTCTCTTCTGCTTTAACTGCATAGAAAACATTTAGTGATGAACTTTGTAGAACTAAAGGAAATAATCCATTTAGATTTTAATTTCAATTCATCATGAAGGAGGTTCTTCATCAGGCAGCTGTGTTCTTCACACAGTCTTTTGGGGAGAAGAGCATTAATGAGTGTTAAACACAGCTCAGCTAACATCACTACTGTTATCAGTCTTATCAACACTTTCAGACTCACAATAAAGCTCTGAAATATTTATAGCATCAGCAGATATCGCACTATTGGTAACATTTATAAAAGCTTTTTCAGTAGTCTTATCAGTCTTTCAAATGCAGAGACACTGATGTAGGAATTGAAGAAAATGTGTTTATTACGGTGCAACCGTATACACCAGAATACTTAGCAATAAACAGTTATTGTAATACAAAATCTTTACACTTCTATTAAACTGAGAGTTGTTCTACACTGTAATGTTAAAGACTGAAGAAAAAGCTCTTTATGAATGAGGTTTTGTATTAAACTACATCTGGAGACATTTGGAACATTTAAAACATTCAATCTGTTCTCTGACCACAAGAGGGCAGCAGCATCTAAATGGAATGAACCTGCTTTCGTTCCTTTACTCCCCTTAAACTGAAAGCTTTTATGGCTTTAATATCTGTTTTTCCTCCTTCAAATGTGT